AAGACTCGGAATAAAAAAAAAAAAAAAGGGAAAAAACTGCAATAGAAAGAATTGGAGAGCGTAAATCGAATTAAAATTTCCAGCTGAACGAAAATCTTTACCTTGTTTTCTGTCTGAGCTCCAAACTCTTATATATTCTTCTCCAAATAAATAAAAATCGATGTCTCAAATTCAATGTCTGCTTTTTTTTCTCATTCCGAATTTTGCTCAGCGAGATGAAAAATATCTCATTTATTTAAAGGTGGTGATAATAAAAGCTAGCAAAGATGAATTTACAGATCCACCCCTCTGAGAGCTTTTTATCGAGTGCAAGTGGTACTTTTGTCTGTTGTGGATTGTGAGATTGTGAATTGACTTGTATGCCCCTAGGCCTAGTCTTAAATCCTAATCCTACTTGAGAAAGTGAAAGACTTTATGGGCTTGTTTGGAAACACTTATTGATAAGTCCATTTCAAGATGAACTTTTTGAAAAGTGACTTCTCAAGAAGTCTTCAATATAAACTTCTTTGAAATGGACTTTTTGTAGGAGTTACTTTTTTAAAAGTACATTTTGTTGTTTACACCAAACATCTTTTTATATTGGAAATGGACTTTTATAGTCAAAAGTCCATTATAAAAGTGCTTCCAAACATACACTATATATTCTTTTGGCTTTTAGTTAGATTCATTCATGGCCACGAGTTAACTCTGAATCGGCTGACTCATGAAATATATATAACTCGCGGCGTATATATATTGGGAACACGAAAGGCTCACACGATTTGCTCCATATTGCAAACAGCCAGCGTTTAATTTATCAGCCACAAGCTATCGATGTTAAAAGGTAGTGCCTTTACAAGATGTCGACTTCATAAGATGACAGAGTGTTTATATGTGTTTGTTGAGTCATAAAATGGTTCCAATTTCCCATTAAGAATTACCAACAAAAAAGATATAAGGCCACCACATATATACGAGAGAAATGTTACGGTTCCATTACGGAATCATTGTAAAAATTGAATTAAGTTGCAATTATTACCAAAATATGGCATACTTTGATTCTGTATCATAATGCTTTATTGTTAATTTTTTTTATAGAAGAAAAAAAAAAAAAAGATTGCAGCACCTTATGAACATTAAGTCAATCAACTGAATATAAGAATTGTAAACTTCATTAATGAGTGAACAAAATTTTATTATATTTACGTATAAGATTGACAAAATTAAAAAGTAAAACATTCAATATTCGAGTGAATATTGATTCAGATCATAAGATCCGCGAAAATATTCGTACACATGTTCAAGTTATCGTAGAATCAACTCTATAAATAAAATATACAACTATAATGAAATAAGTTTTTTTTTTTTTAATAAAAACAATTGATATGGGATATTATATACTAGACCGGTTCGGAGGACACTCCAAACAGAGCAGCGTATGGGTCTGGTCGAGCAGTACCAACAGGTCCATAGAAACTCTAGCACCTGGTCGAGCAGGGACGCCCCAGCAAGTACAGGCACAGATCAATCGTCTCTTGCCTCCAGAGCAGTTACACGTGAGGACACATGGACGGATCTGGTCGACAGCCAGAATATGCTAAAGAATCTCCGTCACATGGAAGGTGGACACGCGGCGGCGTGTGAATGGGCCAAGGGATAACGAACTCTGACATTCTCTGGCGCAGCTGACGCGTTTTCTGACACCGGAGAAAGTGGAGACGCGCGACCGTACGGACGAGCAAAGGATGGAGGGCGAGACTCGCCTAATCGCGCGTGGCCAACAGGTAACTCGTCCCTATAAATAGGGACGAGGATTATCGCTTTGGGATGACTTCCAATTTGCTTAAGACTTTGATATACATCTTTATCTCTCAAGATCTGACTTGAGCGTTGGAGGCTCTTCACCGGAAAATACCTCCGGTGTGAGAGTTTTCGTGCAGGTTCAGCGTTCGACCGGTGGAGGAAGTCGTGTTTGCTGCGGTTCTCGGTCGGGCGAGCGTTAGACTTGTATTAACAATATTGTAGATAATATTTGTTTTAAACATATATACTTTTATAAATGTAATTAAAAAATTATCATTGTTTTACAAATTAAGTGCAAAACACGGGCTTTGTATTAAATAATATCATATATTAATTTTTTTTTTATAATTTATTGTACATTTATTATTTATAACTTACAGCGAACATGTAAATTAATTTACTCTTCTTTATTATTATAAAATTATCATTTTTTTTTTCTCAAATAACCTTGTATTACACAATATCGTAGTAGATTGGATATTATTTATGCCAGGAAAAGTGGTCCATCAGGCATTAGCTCGGAAATTTGACAAAAAAATAAAAAAAAAAAATCTAATAAGAACATCATTTTCGTACTATATTGAAAAAAATAACGGACCACAAAGTTTT